ACCCATCCGGTCCTGGGCTTTTCTTTGTTGGGAGCCTTCTGATAACAGCTTCAATCTCTTTCATTGTTATCAGTCTATTCAGATTTTCTATATCTTCTTGGTTCAGTTTTGGTAGTTTGTGTCCAGAAATTTATCCATTTCCTCCAGATTTTCAAATTTGTTGGTACATAGTTGTTGATAGTTGTCTCTAATGATTCCTTGAATTTCTGAGGTATCAGTTGCAATATTGCCTTTTTCATTCGGCGGGAGCGCCGCCGTGCTCCCAAGCGGCGCACTGTAGCAGTGCGCCACCGGGCCGGCCTTCCTTTTTCATTTCTAATTTTTGTTATTTGGATCTTCTCTCTTCTTAGTTAGCCTTGCTAAAGGTTTGATAATTTTATTTATCTTTTCAAATAACCAACTTTTTGTTTCATTGATCTTTGTATTGCTTTTCAGGTTTCTATTTCATTTAGCTCTGCTCTGATCTTAATTTTTTTCTTTCTGTCTGCTAACTTTGGGTTTGGATTGTTCTTGTTTTTCTAGATCGTTAAGGTGAAGTGTTAGGTTGTTTATTTGCCATCTTTCCATTCTTCTGAAGTAAGCATTTAATGTGATAAATTTCCCCCTTAGTACTGCCTTGCAGACTCCCACAGGTTTTGGTATGATGTGTCATTATTTTCAAGAAATTTTTTGATTTCCTGTTTAATTTCTTCTTGGACCCATAAGTCATTAAGTATAATATTGTTTAATTCCCATGTGTCTGTATAGCTTCCAGAGTTTCATTTGTTATTGATTTCTAACTTTAATCCATTGTGATCAGAAAAAATACATGGAATAATTCCAATTTTTCTGAATTTGTGGAGACTTGCTTTGTGACCTAACATGTGGTCTATCCTGGAGAATGTTCCATGTGCTGATGAGAAGAATGAATATTCTGAGGTTGTTGGGTGGAACGTTCTGTAGATATCTTCCAAGTCCAATTGGTCTAAAGTGATGTTTAGATCTTGTGTTTCTCTATTGATTTTTTGCCTAGATGATCTGTCCAATGTTGAGAGTGGGGTACTCAGGTCCCCCGCTATTATGGTGTTAGTGTCTATCTCATTCTTTAGATCTAATATTGTTTGCTTTATAAATCTGGCTGCTCCGATACTGGGTGTGTACATATTTATGATTGTTATGTCTTCTTGACGGATAGATCCTTTTATCATTATATAGTGGCCTTCTTTATCTCTTTTTATGTTTTTTGCTTTAAAGTCTATTTTACCTGATATAAAAATAGCTACTCCAGCTCATTTTTCATTTCTATTTGCATGGTATATCTTTTTCCATCCTTTTACTCTTAGTCTATGTGTCTTTACAGGTGAGGTGAGTCTCTTGTAGACAGCATATTGTTGGGTCCATCTATTTTTTTTTTTAAGATGACCAGAAAGGGGATCTCAGCCCTTGGCTCGGTGTTGTCAGCATCATGTTCTCCCAAGTGAGCTAACTGGCCATCCTTCTATAGGGATCCAAACCCATGGCCTTGGTGTTATCAGCACCACACTCTGCAAAGTGAGCCATGGGTCAGCCCTGTTGGGTCCACCTTTTTAATCCAGTTAGTCAGTCAGTCTATGTCTTTTGAGTGGGGAATTTAATCTCTTTACATTTAGAGTTATTATTGAAAAGTGTTGATCTACTCCTAGTATTTTACTGATTTTTTTTTTCTTTTCTTTTTTTTGTCTTTTTTCGTGTCCGGCAACGGACCGCAACCCTCAGTGTCACGCCCGTACCGGACCGGGACCGGCAACGGGATCGCAACCCTCGGCGCCGCGCCCACCCCTTGCTCAGCCAGTGAGCGGGAACCGGTCTGTATGTGGGATCCGAACCCTCGGCGGGAGTGCTGCCGCGCTCCCACACGGCGCACTGTAGCAGTGTGCCACCAGTTCGGCCCCGTATTTTACTGATTTTTGTTTAGATGTCTTAAGTACCTTTTGTTCCTTTCTTTCTGATTTTCTGTTTGTCTTCTGTATTTGTTGGTTTCTTGGGATGGTAGATAAACTATATTTTTTCTTTATTGTTAGCGTTTTTGTTTTACTGGTAGGTTTTGTTCTTTCTTGAGTATTCCATGGCAGTGATGGTTATTTTTCAGGCATCAAACCCAGTACTTCCTTGAGAATTTCTTGTAAGGCTGATTGCGTGGTAGTGAACTCCTACAGTTTTTATTTGTCTGAGAAATATACTATTTGTCCTTCATTTCAGAAGGATAGCCTTGCTGTATAAAGTATTCTTGGCTGGTTTGTCCTTTAGTATTTTGAATATATCATCCCATTCTTTTCTGGCTTTTAGGGTTTCTGTTAATCTGATTGGGGCTCCCTTATAGTTGACTTGCCCTTCTCTCTTGCAGCTTTTAAGATTCTCTCCTTGTCTTTGAGTTTTGCCAGTTTGACTATAACATGTCTTGGAGAGGACCTTTTTGGGTTGAATACGTTTGGGGATCTTTGGGCCTCCTGAATCTGAAGATCTGTGACTTTCCCTATACCTGGGAAGTTTTCTGCTATTATTATTATTATTATTTATTTATTTATTATTATTATTTTTTTCCCTTTTTGTCTTTTTTTTTCGTGACCGGTAATGGGATCGCAACCCTTGGTGTCGCGCCCGCAGCACGCTCAACCAGTGAGCGGACCGATCTCTATATGGGATCCGAACCCTCGGCGGGAGCGCCACCGCGCTCTCAAGCGCCGCACTGTACCAAGTGCGCCACCAGGCCGGCCCCTCTGCTATTATTTTGTTGAATATCTTTTCAATGGCATTTCCTTTTTCCTCCCCTTCTGGAATACCCATGATCTGGATATCTGAGCGCTTAAGGTTGTCTGTTATCTCTCTTAGATTTTCTTCAATTTTTTAAATTCTTTTTTCTGGTCTGCCTGTGTTAATTCAAACAGCCTATCTTCAAGGTCAGAAATTCTCTCTTCTGCTTGTTCTAGCCTGCTGATTAGACTCTCTGTTGTATTTTTTATTTCATTGAATGAATCGTTCAGCTCCACAAGCTCTGCTACATTCTTTTCTAGGGCATTGATTTCCTTGTACATTTCTTCTTTTAGGTCCTGTATATTTTTCCTCATTTCATTATGTTATCTAACTGAGTCTTCTTGTATCTCATTTAGCTTCCTTAGAATTGTTGCTCTAAAATCCTTGTCTGTCATTTCCAGGACTTCCTGTTCTATAGGATCTAGAGCTTGAGAGTTATTATTTTCCTTTGGTGGTGACGTACTGTCTTCAATTTCATATTTCTGGTATCTTTCCATTGGTGTTCAGTCACTGTGGCATGGGGTATCACGGTCCACTTGTTCAACCCTGGTGTCTGGCCTGGATCCTGATGGGATAGCCAATTCTGGGCAGTGGGAATTAGCCCGGGCTGGGGGTCGATGGTGCCTGCCAGTCCTGGCACAGCTGGCTCAGGGTGTGTGGGTTTGGTGGCTCTCAGACCTCTCTGGGCAGCAGGGACTGACCTGATAGTACAAACCTTTCCATGAACTTTTTGAGGTAACCTCGTAGTTTGGTAACAGTTACTCTAACACAGAATTGAACTTGGGCATTAATAATTAATTTTAACAAAATCAATACCAACTAATAATTTGGGAAAAAAGAATAAAACTATAAAATCAGAACATATAGGTCAAAAATCTAAGTGTTCCTATTCATAGACTCATTAAGTTCTAGAGAAAACTGAGGCCTAATGAGATTGATTAAGCTGCTAAGTTTCTAGAGCAAGTGAACCTAGCAGTTTCTCCCATATCTCTCTTGTTCCTACCTTGTAGGGTCAAACAGCTGTGTAGACTAGGTCTACAGTTAAGTCTATAACTAGCCTCATGGTGATGTTTGAATTGTGGATTACCCACAATAAACATTTAATCCAAGACTGGCTTCCCCCATTCAGACGTTGATGACCAGCTTCCTCTTACACATCAGCCAGTGGATGGTGAGGCACTGCAGGAGCTGGAGACAGATCTTCAGCAGAAAGGGCAATCTCCTTTTAAGATGCCAAGTGCTAGAGTTGTGGCTTTTAGATGACCCACACCACAACTACTCTGTTTGGTATAAATCACATGTTTTCATGATTGCCATCACAATAATACCTTATATTTGTATAGAGTTTCTGTAGATGAGAATGGCCCTTTAACACAGAGTGTGTGAGTCAGAGGGAATTGCTCTAACTCAGTCAAGTTACAGGGGAAGAAAGAGAAATCACTGAGATGAGACTGTATTAAGTTCCTACTAAAATAATCAGCATAAAAAGATGGTACTTCCCAAAGTGATCTCTAATGGTGGAAGTATTGAGTTGTCACTTACGTTGCTGGCCTCAAACTTGTCCCCAGGCTGGTGGTAGTCAAACCCTGGACTGCCATTGGAGGTAGATATCTTTAAGGGTGGCAGAGGCGGGTTGTAGCTGGAGCCCTTTGGGGGCTTCTCAGAGCCCACAGGGATGGAGGAGTAGGGCCTGGGGCTGGCTTGGGGAGCCCTGGCAGGTTGGGACCTCATCACAGCTGTGCTCCTTTCTTTCCGCTGATACTCAATGGGTGACTGTAGTGCTGCAGGATAAAGGCAGACAGTTGGTTACTCTGAGCTTTGGGAATCCTGTAAGGATTTGGAGGCCTATTGGGTACAAGGATTTGTGCTAGGCATAATTTGAGGAAGACACTACCTTTGTTTTTAAGGAAGTGTGAGAACTAAGACACCAACCTAAATAACGAAAATACAAAAACAAAACGGTTCTGTATGTGCATGTGTGTGGTGGATAATAAAGAGCATCAGAAGGGGCTGGCTGTCAACTCTGACACTGAGACTCCGCGGGAAGGAAGCACGTGTGAAGTGTGTTTGGGGAACAGGATGTGGTCAGATTACCTGGAGCCTAGGGCCATGGTTCTCCATGGACAAAGAGGAGACAGGTAAGGGAGGCTGCATGGCACGAAAGATCTAGGAAGCCAGGCTGATGAGTCTGGACTTCATCCTGAAGATCATGGAAAGTGACTAGATTAAATGAACTTCAAAGTTTTGAATTCAAATTCAATCATCAGAGCCACATTTGAGGAACATTAACCTCATAGTGGTTAGGAGAGTAAGCAACAAAAGGTTTCTTGTCTAACTCAGAGCCAGAGGAGGGCAGGGCTGGAGAACGTGGAGTGGGTACAGCGTGGCAAGTGTGGAGACCGGTGAGGCTCTGACAGCCTAGATGGGAAAAGTGAGGCAAGAATGATGGCTCAGGCCTGGAGGCTGGGAAGATGGCAGTCAGCAGAACTCAGAAGACAGGAGAACAAGCTGATTTGAAGGTAAGGATGCAAGCTTTGTTTTACTGAGTTAAAGATATCAAAGTTCCAAGGTCTGAGTAATAAAGAACAGCCAGGCAAATGCCACAGAAGTCAAAGTCTGTAGGAAGGACTTCAAGGGTTGGCCCAATATGTTGCTTTTATCAGCTTTTGCTATAACAACTATTTAAGTGGGTCAACAGCTGGGGCCCAGAGAACTTTCAATTGTAAGGTGATTTCAATAGTGATACGTTCGTACTTCAATAGGACTCAACATAGGGTCATGCTCCCTTTCTATTTGTGGTCTCAAGAGGGAAAGATTGACTCTAGATGCCTGCACATGTCTAAGTTAAAGCCTGGCCCTGCTCCATCACCACATCCTTGTCTCTTGAGCATGTCAAAGCATATGACAGGCCTTCTAGAGCTCAGCCTCTCTCCCTGGGGAGCTTTCTGTGAGCATTAAATATTTAGGTAATGATAATCTAGTTCAGTAATATCTCCATATTCACTATAATTAGGAGAAAGTTCTCTTGGAACCAACTCTAATCATTGTCTATGCCTAAAGAAATGCAGTTCCAGGGCCGGCCCGGTGGCGCACTGGAGAGTGCGCCGCTTGGGAGCGTTGTGGCGCTCCCGCCAAGGGTTCGGATCCCATGTGGAGACCGGTTCCCGCTCACTGGCTGAACGCGGTGCGGGTGCAACACCGAGGGTTGCGATTCCGTTGCCGGTTCCCGGTACGGGCACGACACCGAGGGTTGCGATCCCGTTACCGGTCAGTAAAAAAGACAAAAAGGAAAAAAAAAAAAAAGAAATGCAGTTCCAAATTTTAAGTACATAGCAAAGAGTTATGAGTAGCTTTATCAAACTGGCTATGAATCAACACCCATTGTATGGAATTGGGATATGACCAGATTGTGTACAATAACTGGGCTAAAGCATTTGGAAACAAGTATACCTTCTTAAATAAGTAAGCTATACAGAGCGCCTGCATTCTTTCACCAGCCTCAATTTGCATAACTTGGGTCTTAGGATCAAGAAAGCTGTGCATCTCTGACAGGGTTTGTTTTTGGCTGATGGATACGGTGTCTTATGCCTGATACTGTTTCTTTCTTTGCTTTGTTTGGTATGGAGCTTATAGATAAATATGTGCCCATCACTAGCAAGTATACTGCAGTTTTGTGGCTAAGAGCCTAATTTGAAGTCCTACAGTGCTGGATTCAAGTCCTTTGTTCTATCACCTACTGTCTTTGTGACCTCAGACAAATTTCTTAACCTCTGAGCCTCCTTTTCCTCCCCTGAAAAAAGTAGGACGATGGTACTTACCCTTCCATGTTGACATGAGGATTAAATGTGAAAAAATATTAGAGTGCCTGGCACAGAATAAGGACTCAATATACGGGAGCCATTATTATTTCTTAAATTATTTCTGGTTTTAACTTATTGTCATACCTCATTTTTCTTTTGTTCTGAATTGATGAACTTAAAGTCCTCATTCCAGCTTAGAATCTATCAGAAATCCTAATTAACAGAATGCAATTTAAATGGATATATTTCATATATGCACATATTTTTGCATAAAATTATTTAATCAACAAAAATGTTAACTCTAAGTTCTATATGCAGAAATCATAAACTATATATTACTTTCATTATCATCCCTCAGAACTGGGCTGGTATTTAATCTTAGGCTTTTCAGAATGAAAAGGAACCCTAACACCAAGGTCAAGGGTTAGGATCCCCATACCACCACCCCTAGCCAGCAAAAAAGCACAAAAACAAAAACACAAAAAGATCCCTAAAGATCGCTTAGTTCAGCTTTTTTTCCACTAAACTTTTCTACAGCTGGGGCTCATGGGCATAGCCCCAAAATACTCTAAGTGCAAAATTCTTTTGAAGTCTCATGTTCTATCTTAAAAAGTCATGGCATCCTGATACATGATCTTTTTATTTGTTTTGAAATAAAGGCATTGTGTTAAGTCCCTTACTATGCAGTAAAGCTGATACTGTGGGGAGGTGTGCCATGCTGTCCTGCGGCTGGCACCGCCGGCACACCATAGCACTATCCACATGGCAGAGTAGATCTAGCCCAAATACTTTTTTCACATAACAAGGCAGGTGAGGCCTAGAGGAATGTCGTGACTTGCCCAAGGTCCTCAACCAGTACATCACCTTTTATCTTTGCTCACAGCATTCAGTTCTATGCTACACACCAGCAAGCGTTCTACCTGCATCATTTGATAGTCCAGATCCTAGTACTGGCAAGAAGTGACACATCTAACGTGGGCCTGTGTGTGTGTGTGTGTGTGTGTACACGTGCATGTACATGTGTGATCACATACAGCCATATGTTCACTGAAGATGAGTGTGTGCGTGTGTGTGTGTACACGTGCATGTACATGTGTGATCACATACAGCCATATAAGTAGAGGTCCCAGGACAGGCAAGAAGAGGTGGTATAACTGATGGTGGTCCTACATACATGCATGTGTCTGTGTACACATCCAGGCATATGTGCCTGCTAAGTTTCCACATTTACTTTGTTACTGGTTACATTTTGACTTCAACTTCCAGCTCCATCTGGGCTCAAGAGACTTCTGAGCTCACCAACTCAGCAGAACGGCCCTAGTTTAAAACTCTACACTTCCTTTCACATGACAAGCTCAATGTGAAGAAAATCTCAGCAGGGGGAAAAATAAAGAAACATAAACAAGGTAGCAACTCCACTTCACTCCACCCATTAGGGGACTCCCGCAGGGCTCAAAGAGAGATACATTCTCTGTGTAATCACCAATTTGTTCTGGGAAATTTCAAGGTATTACTGAAATTTAGAGTTAGCAATCTCCCCTCATTTTAAAGGGGTAAGGTCAGCTAGCGAAGTAGCTTATCTAGGACCTCACACTGTTGGGAGTAGGGGAGGGATGTGAACTGACCTGCCAAACTCCCAGTTATCTCTAGATAACCCTAGAGAAGCTGTGAGAGGACCAGCCATTAACAACCAAGTGGGCAAATGTGTATCATTGACAACTGGCTCCTAAGACAAAGAGAATGTGCCCATCTCAGACTTCTGCCCAAATTATTACCAGCTAGTAGTGGTGGCCACAGGCATGTACCCTATGTCTGATAAGAGAATATCACTTCTATGAAAAAGATGGGGTTTCTTTCTCATGCCCCTTGTGTTCCACTTGTGTATTTAGGGTCAGAAGCGTCCTAAAGTGCTTCTGAAAACTACAAAGTTGGAGTCCATATAAAATGTGTTCTGGGCTCATAACTCACCCTAAACCTAGACCCAAGGAAGCTCAGAGGTGTGGGGTCCCCTGAAATGGCCCTGCTAGAAACCAGGCTCAGTACATACCATTTAAGAAGTCTCGCTGTGTTTCTAAGACTTGATTGATGTCCTGCACCCAGGCCTGCTGGATGTCAGCATTGGCAGCTTGCAGGATGACCCTCTCAGAAGTCTCCCTATTCAGGAGTGCAAACTTGCAGGGGTCATCATCCACGTTCTCCTCCAGGACCAAGTAATTCATCTGGAAGAAAATAAGTTGATGCTTTTCATACTGAATTATTTTAAAAAATCAGCAACATATTACTGTTCCTCAAAGTTTTTATTTCAGGAGAGGTTTACAAATTTTGCCCTGGACCTAACAGGTCCTCTGGTTTCTGTCTTTGAGTGAAGGACATTATCCTGGGGACCTGCAGGATCACGCTCGAGATTGGATTTGGTCTGTCACTTCTTCTCACAGTGACTGTTTTACATGCAACCTCCACCATCTGAAGTTATTAGGCTAAAAGATCTTCAAGGTTTTGGATCCTCACCACTCCAGTGTCTTGTCTCAGGGAAGTAGCTCCCAAGAACTTGGCTCTTCCCTGCCCCTCTCCTCCCCACTGGAATCCTCACCTTGATGCTCCTTTTGAACATGTAGCCCGGGGTGAGGGATCCCTTCCTGAGCAGTTCACTGAAGATGACAATCTGCTCGAAGAGGAACACACGCCTCTCCTTGGTCCGGGACTGCATGCCTGCATCCAGCTCAATCACGTAGAATGTGTCCTGTTGCAGCAGCTTCCCCTGAGCGGTCAGGGTGCCCTGGTGGGAAGAGGGGCCGGGATGACGCACTTGAAAAATGGGGAGTCGGACACAGCCCTCTCAGTCCACAGACCCTCCCCCACTGGAGACACAGACAGACCTGACACCAAAAGCCTCAGAGTTCTAGTCAGAGACTGAATTAGGATCCATCCACCCACCCAGGGGCAGACGGTGACCACTTTCCTATTCACACAAAGGCCCTGAAGGAAGGGGAAAGAAGGCCATGGAACCACTAAGACATAGCTCCAGGAAAATGCCAGAAGGAAGGAAAGTGAAATTATTAGCTAAAAAGAGGTCCAGAAATTGTCCTGGCCCTTCCTGTTTTTTATTAGAATGAGAACAGAAAGTAGGTGACACTTAGTGCCTAGTTTGCCAGTTTCTAATGAGGTTTTCAGAGACATCTTCCTATCTTCAAAGGGAATATGGCTCAACCCAGCAAGTCTTCATAGAAGCTATGAGAGAGCCTTGGTTTTTCAATTGCTCTGCAACAGGAAGACCCTGACATCTGAGGCAGTAGTCAGAGACTTCCTCTGAATTCTTCTCCGGTGACTTTTGCTGTGTAGTGCAAGTGTAGGCCATTCCTTTCACGTGATGCCTTATTCCAAACATTACCCAGCACAGAGGTCATTTTTCTTTTGTGTTCCCGAGAAACGCCTGCCCTCTGCTTGGATCATGGCTCCTTACTGCCAAGGTCAGCAGGCAAACAGGCTTATCTCGACCCTAGTCCAAAGTTAATATTAAGCCAGTGACCAGCTAGCCAGGAAAGATCTGAAAGCTCTACTAATATTACAAAAGAACATGATTGTGGACGATAGCCCGGCCAACACTAAAAGGAAAGCCAGAGGACTTGAAAGGGAGGGAATTAAAACGAGGGGGGTCTAACTTCTCCCAGACCTAAAGGCATGGACTTAGGGAATAGACGTACGTTCACTGTCCTTGCCAATTAGCTGAAGGAATGCAAAACAGATTCTCTGCAGCTCGATGAAAACAGGAGACAGTGGTGCTTGATTTAAAAGAGGAAACAATTCCACACTCCTGTGCGTGGGCTTATGTGGACACACACGCACATGCACAAAATGGTTTCTGTGAAGTCCAACTTGGGTCGGAGAGCACAAGCAAGTGTCATTCCTCCTGTTAGGGTCAGTTCCTCCAGAGACCCAGAGGAAGCCAAGTCAGACCTCTGTTCAGAAACCATGGGGACTTCAAGGTTGAAAAGCAAAAGGGGTTACTTGCTTTGTTCAGAATAGCCTCAGACTTGGCATAACACCAAAAAAAAAGTGTTATGACTGAAGAAAACCAGTATGACTAAAAAAAAACCATGTGAGAACTCAGAGAATATTTCTACTGAGTAACCCTGGTAATGCTAATGTCTACCTTGGAGAACTAGGAACCCATGAAAAATGAACAGCAACGAAGACCGTCCATGAACCAGACAGAGACACCCAGGATGGGCTGGAGGGCAAGGAGGGCAAGAGAACTTGGCTCAAGAATGTCCTGAATCCAGCTCATGAACCCAAACCTGAATATAGCATCTCCTAAATTCACTCATAACACCAGTCTACCTTATATCTACTCCAGGTTAGCCAGGGGAAAAAAGCCATTACTTTCTTAATCATCTCAACCTCCAGGAATCCCTTTTCTCTAAAAAGCAATAATGAAATCTAATGAAATCTTATATTAAGGGATTACTGGGAAACAGGATTACAAGATCCACATCTTTCTCTAAGGGGATCAACAACTACTAGGTGCCAGTCAATAATTATATCAGGGGCTGGCTGGTTGGCTCATGGGTTAGAGTGTGGCCTTATAGCACCAAGGTCAAGGGTTCAGTTCCTCTTACTGGCCAGCTGCCAAAACAAAATTGTGTCAGTTCCAATTTTTATCACATTAATATTCAAAACAGATTAGGTTTAGTTACCTTATAAGATTTGGATATAAACTAATAACAGTTATTTATTAAGTTTATATTAGGAAAGTCAATTTGCTCTTCAGAGGTTCACTGTTAAGGGCTGAATTATGCCTCATGCCCCAACAATTCATATGCTGACTTGTTGCCCCCAGTACCTTGGAACATGACCTTATTGAGAGATAGGGTCTTCCCAGGTGATCAAGTTATAGTGAGGTCATCAGAGTGAGCCCTAATAGAATATGACTGATGACCTTATAAAAAGGGGAAATTTGGACACAGATACATAGGAGGAAAGGTGATGTGAAGATACAGGGAGACACCCACCACATGAACATGAAGAAAGCCATGCACAAGCCAAGGAGGGAGCCTGGAACAGATCCCTCCCTCGCAGCCCTTAGAAGCAACTGTCCCTGACAACACTTTGATTTCAGACTTCCAGCCTCCAGAACTGTGAGACAATACATTTCTGCTGTTTAAGCCACCCAGTTCATGGTACTTTGTTATGGTGGCCCTAGCAAACTAGTATATTCACTTAAACTGAAATCCTTGGGACATCTATTTCCCTAAAGACTTAATTCTTCTCTTCAAAGAACAGAACTGGGTACTGTGATGTTTCAGAGCTTTAAATGTTCATTTAACTAAAAAGCCAGTCACTGGATAGACCTGTTTATTAGAACCACTCTCTCAAAAAACAAAGTGCTCTGTTTCCCTGCTTAGGTTTCACTTCCATCACATAGTCCTGCTGTTCCTAATACCCCAGCATTTCTTAAGAAAGAACAGGGGAGAGGTCATTGCCAGGTGCACATGGTTATAAAGAACATTGGGTTTTTCCAATCCCCTTGGAATTCTGATTCCAGTTTGGCCAAAACTGCTCCATAACTTCCTATGACTGCCCAATCGCCGGACTTTCTAAACAGACGCATGTTCTAGGGCTGTGGACCAGCGGGGCCTGGGCACAAGGGTGTAGATGGCGAGTGAGGAAGCAGAGGAAGCAGGACACAGGACTTCAAAGGGAAGAGGTGTCAACAGTCTGGACTCCCGGTGCCCAGGAGAGAGAGGGCTTAGAAATATTTTCTTAAGAGCTCACCTCAAAGCCCTGCAGGCGTCCCAGATTCATCATGTCATTGCAGCGTTTGGGAACAAGGCACATTAACTCCACTGCTTTCTGTGGGAAGGAACAGTAGTCACTCAGAAGGGGGAACAGCACTGGGCAGGAAGCTCACGGCAATTCAGAACTGGGAGATGGGGACCTCACCTCCTTGAAGGTCCTTTATTCTAGGAAAAGACACTGGTCCCTGCTGTCCATGCTCAGAGGAATGTGACATTTTCTGTTCTTGAGGGGGGTGCTGGTCATCAGCACAGGGGCTCTACGTCAATCAGTGTCACATGTTGGGGGAATGCTACTCAGCCCATCCTTTCCCTACCTTCCTGCTTTTGTACACCAATTCCCTTTCCTGCTCATATTTTCTTTCTTTTCTCTGTTGTGTCCTGGCTGCCCAAGCAACAGCTTAGCCTGGCTTGTGAAACACTAAAGCTTTTAGCCTAAAGTAACCTGCCAGAATGGTCTTTAACCTTTCTGGCTTAAAATAATCCCCATGGTGACGTTGTCTCAAAAGACTTCACTCAGAGGGTAATCCTCGGGGCCGAGGGGACTGAAAATGGAATACTTTATTTGTTATTTTCAAAGAGTACTTGGATTCATGGGTAAAATTGCATATTGAATCTCTGCAATCTACACCTAATTTCTGAAGGATGTTAAATGGGCAAAATACCACCTTTTTCCCACTACATGTCACCAGGAGATGCACAGAGAACATCAGTAGGACTAAGCTCTGGTCTAGCCCCAGACAGAATTCTTGAGTTCTAGAAAACACTTTATTCATTAACATTTGCCATTCCTCATCCTGTTGTGTAGTCCTCAAGACAGTCCTCCTACTGTCTGAGAGGAGTTGCTTGGACCCTCGGTCCTCCTGAGACAATCTTTTTCCCTTTAGTGACAGACACCCAATATGGCCCCTGAGAACAGCTAGCATTACAAGCAGAAAACTCACCTCGATATCTGAACACTCCAAACCAGCCTTCTCACTGTATCTCAGGAAGTCCTAGCAAGTAGGGGAAGCAGGGAAGGGGGTGGGAAGGGGTGAAATCAGTTAGTAAAATAGTCAGAGAGCTATAAAAAACGTATCAAAAAAATGCAATAACACCCTGAAGACCTTCCATCTCAGCAGAGGTGGCAATGGTTTGTAGTAGCTGAGAAACAAAATTATGAATCATGTTAAACATAACATAGAGAAACTCCCAGGATATTCAAGGTTTCACAGCTGTGGGAGAAGGGAGGTGAGAGGGCGAGAGGAAGAAAAGGAGGATTATGACAAGAAAGGATGGGAGAGCGGAAAGTGAAGCCTCTCTCTTCCATTTAACCTCATATTTCCATAAGATCAATCAAGTTAAGCCATTACTTAAAGTAAAATATGACCACGTTTTAGGTATTACTCATCTAAGGTCTCCAGAGCCTTGCCTTTCCCTTTCTTTCTTCCTTGCATCCCATTCTAATTTTATGCTCTTACTATTTTTTGTTTTTTAAAGGTATCAAATCAGTGACTGTGACAACGTAAGAAAGTGAATTGAAAAAAGAAAACCAAGTAACAACGTTAAGGGTGGGAACTCCAGCCGTGCAATTTATCTGGGGGCAAAGCTGACGGAGGAGCCAGCTAACAAGAGCTGACATGTGTCCCCACCAGTTCACAACTCTTGGGACAGTGTGGAGGAGACAGGACCTGAGCTCCACTGCTCACCAGCTCTGAGCCTGAGGGGACCCTTCTCCAGCCCTGGCCAGGCTCCCCGCTTCTTACCTTGAGGAGCAACTGGTATTTTGTTATTCTCTGAATGGGCTTGATAAGGAAGTCGCTAAGTGTCAGCCTTTGATTTATCTCCTGTTTTACCTCCTGAAACACAAAGCAGCTGTGTTAGAAAAAAAGGAACCAAAGAATGGGGTACTCTGGATCAGGGTTCCAAGACACAGAAGACAGGTCTTCATGTTTTCCAATAAAGTTTAATAATCTTCAAGCGAGAGGTGGAACTGCCTACACAACTGGTCCTTTGTTATGAACAGCATGTTAACACACACCACCATCACCTTCTTGCCTTCCTGCCATGCCTTCCCAGCAACCACTTCCACACCTTGGTCCTCACCCCAGTTCTGGGGTCAAGCTGGGATGGGTACTAGGTTCTCTCAACTGCTCCAGGGCAAAGTCAGGAAAGAAGTCCTGCTCCTAGGATGTAACAGGCCTACAGAGCCCCAAACTCAGATCTCCAAACACTCAGCTGAGGGATCTCTCCAAGTGACGGTGTTGCCTCTCCACCAACAAAATAAATCCTTCCTGGTGGGGCAGAACACCCACCGTGAGCCGCTTGACAGAACCTCAGGGAGCAGAAGTGGAGACTATGAAGTGACTGCAAACCCCTCAACCAAGAGGAGGGTCCTCAGCAAGCAATCCCAGGGGGACTGGTAAGGAAGAGTGTGGGCACAATCTGCTCTGAGATCACTTAAGAAGGACCAGAGCTTCTAAAACATCCTCTGTGTTACAGAATCATTCTGTGAAAGGAGGCTTCTCAAAGCAGTCCACAGACTGGGCCCTCAGCTCCTGTCAAGCAAAGGTGCTCATTAGAAGTTAGCTAAGAATCTAATGGCTCTGTTGAAGGAGCTATTCCTATCATGAAGGGGTCAGCGGTGCTGTGTGGGGGTCGCCTGTGGAGGGATGACGTCTGGTATTTCTGAACCTGGCTGTCCTGGCCTGAGTCCCCCTGCACTCTGATTCGGCAAAGCCTGAGGTGCGTTACCTCAAAGTAGGCATCGTACTCAGCAACGATGTACTCTGAGCGTGGCTTGTTCTGGCAGTACCACACGTAGATGTGCAGCTTCCGCTCCTGAAAAGCAGAGGGAGGGACACGTGGGCAGTCAGGCATCTGCACCTTTCGCTCACTCTCAGAGTGCTATGCTGGTCTACACACAGAGAGAAGGAAAAGACATGGCCCAACCATGCTCAAGGATGCCCTGGTGGTTCAACATTGAGGATATAAAAGGAAATACGGTAGGCAAGAGCCCACCTTCCCAATTGCCAAGAAGGTTAAGGAAAACAACAAAAACTCAGAGAAATGAGAAAGAAGGCCAGTCAAGGAAGAGCAAATGAGAGAAGGAATTTCTAAATGAATGTAAATGAACCCAGACAGGGGCGGGGGAGGGAGGGGGGTGGAAGGTGAAGGGAGACACTCACATGCTTGATAAAGAGCTGTGCCAATCTGTCTTGCTCCTGGATACATTTTTCCAGTTCAGCCAGGAAAAAACTAAAAGGAGAGAGGGGAGAAGAGGAGGAAGCCGCGTTATTCAGAACTGTCTTATCTCTCAATGATGAGATAAATGACAGAAGACTCTCCCCCAAACCCTACCCCTTAGGTCAGATACAGGAAGAGAACTCGGGAGTCCTGGATTCCCATGACAGCCCGATCCTCAGAGCAGCATTAACACTTACTCCTTGTGCCAGTCATAAATCTGGTGAATATTTCCAAACACGATTTTATCCTTTCCTCGCATATCCTCAGGAACACCCTTTTCTTCTATTCTCTTCATGAAGCCCTGTAGCAGCAGAGGCAATGGTTAGCAGAGAGCTTTCACAAGAAGGCCCCATGCAGCACTCCTGTAAGCCCACACTCTCCACGTGAGTTTCAGAGCACGTGCTTCTGGAGTTTCTCACTGTTCAACCAGGACTTCGCCCTTGTGCAGAGTGACAGACAAAACTTTTATGAAGTTTCTGGGTCCCTTTCTTTGTCTCCAGTCCCCTTAAGAAAGCAGAACAAAGAAGAAAACAATCATTTGTCCTCCCATCTTCCAATCTAAGTTCATTGTTATCTTTGGAAGCTCGGAACTAGACACATCTGGCCTAGAAATAAGTCTTAGTATGTTAATACTTTAGACTCTGTAAAATGCAATCATATATATAATCATATATAATCTCATTTCAGCTTTAAAATCAGCTTTGAAGTTGTACAGGAAGGATTTATTCCCATCTGACAGATGAAAAAACCAAGGCACCCTGATGTTATATGGCTTGTCTTATAATCATACCACTGATGTGACTTCCCTTGATTTCAATCTCTCAATCTGCCGATTCCCAAATCCTCTACTCCTGGGCTGAGTTGCATATAGAGGCTGATGTACCCCTTCTTGTCCCCATCCCCCTTTGAAGATGAAAATAACTTTCGGTAAGTTACAGTTCATATCCTCTATATGCCAGATTAGTCTGCTTATCCAAGGCTTGGGATAAGCAAATACAAAACCCTAAGTCAGCAGATTTCATAGGATGGGGACTCACAGGCCAAATGTAAGAAACCAACAGCACTTTAGACATTAGGCATTCAATTTTTAGATTTCATATTCTTTCTTTTAAGATGATTAGCAATAGGGCTTTAAGCCATCTAAATTATCCAGTTACTTTCTGTAGTGGATTGAATGTCCCCCCTCTAAACTCATTGAAGCTTGGTTTGTGCCCCCCAAGTTTATGTATTAGAAATTTGGACCCCACTGTGACTATTAAGATGGTGGGAAATCCTATTAGGGTAATTGAAAGGTGGGGCCTTGAAGAGGTGATTGGATTGTGGGACCATGCCATAGTGAATGGATTAAAAATGGTGGTCTTGGGTGTGGTTTGGAGGGTTTTAAAGGGAGAGTGAATGAGGAGGTTAGTCTCTCTCCCCCTCTCTCTGCTCCACCATTTTCTGCCATGTGAGACCCTTGGGTCACTGTCACCACCTCCAAGGCCTTCACCAGCTATGTTCCTTGGACTTTGGACTTCTCCACCTCTGAAGCTATAAGCAATAAATTTCATTTTCTTAAATTACCCAGTTCCATGTATTTTGTTATAAGCAACAGAAACGAACTAATATACTTTCTTAGGCTTTTCATCCAAGTGTCTAAGTATTTTTTTTTTTTCCGACCAGTAAGGGGATCACAACCCTTGGCACGGTGTGATCTGCACCACGCTCAGCCAGTGAGTGCACCGGCCATCCCTATAGGATCCAAACCCGCAGCCTCAGCGCCACCAGCACTGCACTCTCCCGAGTGAGCCACGGGGCCAGCCCCAAGTGTCTAAGTACTTCTAAAGTGAATCCCTATGGAGATAGAGCTATTTTATTTATTACCAAGTTGACTCTAACAGTGGACCTGTTGGTCTTGCTTATTGGTGGTTTTTTTATTTGTCTTCTTGGCAGCTATAACACTCTCCATAAAAATCTAAAGAAACATATAATCCCCAAGATTCCACTAAACGTGACCTGCCTTGTGCTCATGGTTGCTCATATCTCTGAAGAATATATGTCCATATGGTTAAATACCAAAGAAAAGCTCTTAAGACTTGGTCACCTAAAACAAAGTGAAACGGACTCAGCTCTAATCAAAGGCTCCCCCAAATTCTGTAACACTTGGGCCCCTACCTCCCTCTAAATATCTCATAATATTTCAAGGGGAAAAGAAAAAATTGCCTATATATTCTATTTGATTTATTACCATTTTTTTTTCCTTTTTGTCTTTTTTCGTGACCGGTAACGGGATCGCAACCCTCAGTGTCGCGCCCGTACTGCGACCAGCAACGGGATTGGCAACGGGATCGCAACCCTTGGTGTCGCGCCCGCACCGCGCTCAACCAGTGAGCGGACTGGTCTCTATATGGGATCCGAACCCTCGGCGGGAGCGCTGCCGCGCTCCCAAGCGCCGCACTCTACCGAGTGCGCCACCGGGCCAGCCCGATTTATTACCATTTTAATTTCCATTTCTGCAAATACTCAGAAAGAGTAAAATACATATAACCATCAAGTTAAAACACCTCAGCCTAGGTAGGGTCCAGTATGCTCCTGGCTGGTTGACCACAGACCCACCCTGAGCCATCTACTCACCTCCACCACAATCCCCAGATCCTTGACATAGTCTTTCTCTGTCTGTACCAGCTCATTCAGGACAAACCTGAGCAGGAGATTAAGAACAATGAGGGTTCCTCTTCATTGATAAGCACGAAATCTCCACACTTAAGTTCACAGGAAAGTTACTTTGGTACTTTTATGACAAGACCACCAAACAGACCCACACTTAGCACCCCAGAAAGGTGCTTACTGATGCTCTCTCTACAAGGGGCCCCCACTTAAGAACTGAGGGCACCAAGGCCAGAGAGGGCTTTCCCCAGATGACACACACTAGTCAGACAAGGAATGGCACTCATCACGAGCATTCTTCTTTCTATTCTTTTTGCGTCTTTCTCCTTCACTTATAACTGGATAATTGTAGAGACACAGGGCAGAAAGATGACAACCACTTTGGCAGAACTGAGTTATGAAAGCTTTGAGGCCAAGTGATTAACAGGAGATGTTTATTCCTTTGTTTCAGCTTCATTCTTTACTTAATAAGAGGAGAAAGACATTTGTTTGATAATCAACCTTTCTTTTTTTTTTGGCAGCTGGCCAGTATGGGGATCCAAACCCACGACCTTGGTGTTACAGGACTGTGCTCTAACCAACTGAGCTAACCAGCCAGCTCTTTTAAGGCCTCAGAGGCACTTACATCAACTGACGCTTTTAAGATATGGAAGCTACAATTATTCAGATAGGTATCCGTGGTCACTGGCCTGGAAAATCTCTAGGCAAGGCCAGAAAGATTGACTGCAGACATTCCATAATCACAACTCTGAATGCAGCAATCCTTGTCCAGGATGCAGGATTTAACAACTTCAAGGACATTTGCTTTCTTGGTTTCTTTCTTGTCAATTATTTCTACCTCTTAGAGCATTTACTATGTGCCAGTTACTTCATCTGGGTTTTCCCATGCCTGTAAGAAGGCAGGTATTGTAAAGTCCTATTTTGTATAAATGAAAACACTGAGACAGAAAGGTCAGGTAACTTGTCCAAGATTACAAAGTGAGTAGCAGAGGTGGGATTTGAACCCAGCTGTACAAAAGTCCAAAGACTGTATGCTTTCACAGTAGCCCACTGTCTGGTAAACTAGGCAGACTGGCTCTCTGGAGTCCCTAAAGCCTCCAACCCAAACACTCCTCTTTCTTTCTTCTGTCCAGACAGTGAAGAGCTAAACATCAAGTGCTTATGGTTGTGCAAAAGGGCAGGATGGGTGTTGTGTGTCCTACTGGAGGTGGACTCTTATCTTATTTGAAAGAGTTGTGCCTGCAGCCACACAACTGCATTTTTGGCCCGAGTGGCAGAAGGGATAAAGTTCTAAGCTGTCAAAGAGGGGCCCCAGCACAAGGGTTGTAACCATTTGGGACCCAGGAAACAATGCATCTGAAATTCCTGTTCTGCACAGCTCTGACAAGCCACCAGATCCCTAGGCCTCATCCCTCAGGGCAATGGGAAGAAGCAAAGGAACACAGGCTTCTTTATCAGTGTGCCCAGCACTTCTAGCCACTCCCTCTCTCTAACACAGATGCACGGGTTTTAGGCCACAGGAAGGAACTGGCAAGGCCAATGAATGCATTTAAATATATCTTTTGCATGGCCTAAGCTACTGCTCGGAAGAAAGTGGGTAAAAGAAAACCCACAGGAAAGTTCGAGTGGGAATTCTGGGCTGGGAGGGCCCTCTGGAGATGAAGTTCAGCGTGCTGTCTCCATGCGATATTTTTATCCTAAGCTATTTGGTGACAGATGGGGGCTGTATTAAGCTTTTCAGCTTCCAGGGAAGAGGATTGTACTAGGTGGACCTAGCAGCTCTTCTCTTGAAGGGGTGAAGCACCTGGGGAAATGATGACACATTAAAAGACATTCTGAAAAGTTACATCAAAGATTTAAATTACATGCATCGCTAGGCAGTGCATGTTTAATTGCCAAATAAATTGAATTTATAATATATTTTTTCATGTTCAATTCTTATTAGTAAAACATATTTACAAATTAGTGTTATTCTTTGGTCCAACTCTTCAGCTATAGGTTAGACTCGCTTCTAACTTCTCTCTTTCACAGTGGTAGGAAATGGCTGGTCCTCCACAGAAAATCCCTTAGAGACTTTGCACTGGCTGTTCCCTCTGCCAAGAACGCTTTTCCTTAATGGCTAATTCCTTACCTCTTTCTGGTCTTTGTGCAAATGCCAGAACCACTTAAAACTGCAATATGTCCTCATCCATATTCCCCCACTCCCTTACACTACTCTCTTTTTTTCTTTTTCCAGCTTCCAACATACTACATAATTTATTTTGCTTATTGTCTGATTTCTCCTACTATAATGTAAACTTGCCATGAGAGCAAAGACTTCTTTTGTTGTTCTTGTGTGTCTTATTCACTGATGTATCCCACTGATGGTATATACTAGGCGTTCAACAAATACTTGGTTGAATGAATGAGTGACTGAAACTTGAAGACAACTAAGTCCATTCTCAACTTTTTTCTTCTCCTGGACCAATGAATATTTGTTTTCATCTTTTCTCTATAGAGATCTCATTTAACACTTTGATGTCCTACTGACATCTTCCAAATGGAGTTTCGGTTCTCTCTCTCCATCAGCCACCAGGTTCACACAGGGTTTACAATTAAACTCCTATACATCCTGTCTTTCATCATGGCCATAAAGTACAGCAGAGCAAAACAGGATGACATACAGCAAGAGAAACGAGATGTACTAACAGCTGGATTTTCAGGACAGCTCAGGATGTGGAGAGGTGGTGGGTCTGGGGAGAATGAAAGGAGGGTGAACAGATGGGTAAAGAGGGTAGAAGAGGAAGCCCACATTTGTTGCCTGTTGTGGCAAAATCTGACAATATCATGTAGTATCATGACAATGACTTTAAGTGACTGTTCATATCAGGGTAGATAACTCAAACCTTACATAACATATTGGTTTTTGTGAAATAGACTGCAATGTGCATTGTATTTTACCATTAACCATTCAAAATGGGGAGGAGATTCTCTTTGAACTAAAACCACAAATGGACATAAAATTAAAACCTGTGGAGAAGGAGCAGAGATGAGACCTGCCTCTTGGCACAACAGCCTCTTCCATACATCACTTTCCTATGGTCTAGAAATTAGACAGCAGTGTACAAATTATAAAATCAAGACAGAGGGAACATAAGGATTCCTAAATGGTCGGGCAAATGTTTCCTCAGGTGACCTCTACCAGATTTTCTGCCATGGTTAGGGATTCTGATTCTACATACTCCTAGTGATAGTCCCATAGTTTCCTAAACTTTGTTGTTTTCCTTTTATCAACATGTTTTAAATTTCTAACAGATCTTGGTTATAACCACACTTTGTCAATAATAGCTGCTAATGCACAGAATATACTTCAGCCTAAACATCTTCAAGTCAGTGCCAAAGTAGCTCATTGTTCATCAGTGCTACACTGCACAGATCTGGGCCACCTTTACTCAGAATGAGAGATACCAGTGGAAACACAAGTGTGGGGACTCCCTCTCTGACTCCCCCAACCCTTGCTCACTGTCCACCGTACACATGCATGCCCCTGGGTGGGATCTGAGGTAGCCACTTACATCCTGCCTCTCAGGGCCTTGGCTTTCTGTTCTTCCTCCAGGTTTCTAGGAGCTGTGGGTGGGGTCATCCCCTCATTCAGGCAGCCTGTGGGGTCTTTCAAGCTCCCCCGGTATGATCCTCCTTCTAGACTCTGAAAAGAGAAGAATAAACAGCCTAAGAGAAGTAAACACTGAAAAGTCATTTGGAAGCCCTGTGTCCCCCTCCCCCCTCAGCCTAGCCACAGCCAACTTGGAAAATCAGTAGCCAAGGCTGTTCTCACCAAACCACAGTGAAGCGCTAGGAGACCAGAGACTTCCATCCTCCTGCAGCAGAGCTGCTGCATTGTCGTGCTTGGCATTCATGTGCTGCCAATTGTTCTGACATAACGAAGTTGTCAAAGTGACTTATCTCCTGGTAAGAGCTCTAGAGATAAAGCTAATCATTGCAATTCTACACCAAATAAGCAGTTAGAAAAGAAAATCAGTTGTAAGGCCACCATATGCAAAGTGATAAGGGGAGGGTAGTGATAAGAGAACTAGTTTGGTAAAATCATGTTTTGTTAAATCAGCTACAATTCTTCTGAAGAGGTGAATGAGATGTAGACAAGAAGTCAAAAGAGATACCTTTTCTAAAAACATCTTCGCTAAGGTTATTTATCAAGGGCTTTCTTTTATTTATTAATCCTTTTCATTTGTTTTAGTTCAGGTGCTGCAGGACTGAGAATACAAGTTAAAAGGATTAATACGGTTCTCTAGTAGGAGCTAAGTGTAAAAGAACCTAAATTCTAATCTGTCTGCTAGTCACTGAGTGATCTTACATGAGACAGCTAAAATTGTTCTATACTTCAGTTTTTCTCAATTTTCAAATCAGATCTTTCCTCACTACACATTTCTAAGGAATAGACAGAGACAGCTGTACGTCCCCTTTGAAAAGTTACAAAGGCTCTACAATGGTGAGGTTCTCCACCCCCCACCCCAGCGAATGAAACTTAACCATGAGGTACTCAAAATGAAGTCAATCTTAACATTTTTACAAGTGCCCAGGAAGATGGACCACAGTGACACTTAGCATTTCATTACGCAAATTGGCAGAAGCAATGTGGATAAATAATAAGACTAGAGGCCAAGGTCAAGGTAGGCAACTGTAAAGCAAATATGGGAGACTAATCCAAACTATTCTTACAAAATGCCTGTCCACAAGAGACACTGAGGCTAAAAGGAAAGTTTCACTTAGTAGTCTTTGAAAACATTAGCCCTAGGAATAAAGTCACAAAGATCATAAAGTACCATCCAAAAAAGTAGTGGGAACAAAAGGCTTCAGCCTGGTGTTAAATGATCTGCACTTGTGGTATCTGTCACAAACTCTCACACTTGCTGTATTTCAATATAGGCCAAATAGAGGTAAGAAAGAAAGGTCCAGGGGAAAAACGAAACAAAATGTGAACAAGGTGCCTTATGGGCCATTATGTGAGAAAGGATAGAGAATAGTAAGACTTGAGAGTGAAAAACTTAATGCAGAGAAGACATATCAACCTTCTCCCTGCCCCCCCCACCCTCAAATTGCCGAAATGTGCCAAGGGACAAATACAAATTTCTTATCAACTCTAGAAATTAGAATTAAGAGGACAGGGTCTTCATCCTTGAGAGATAATTTCCTTTAACTTGACATAAAGGTATTTACAGAACAAGTAATCAACCATGGAAGTTGTTATATCTAGAGCTGCAGTATAGGCTAAAAATATAGAAAGGTCAAGAAAGGTTTAGCTAAATTTATAGATACAGGATCTGTAACATGTTATTAAGGAAATAAGAGTGTCTGGTGCTGAGGCTTGACCAGCCAGAAGACAGGCAGGCTTTCCAATGACACGTCCTCTGGTGCCACCACCAGTGACAGACTCCTCTCACAGACGGACCCAGCTGGTGACTGATCTGATTACATGCCTTTTACTTCCCTCCTCCTTTCCCACTGTCTTGTCACAGCCTTTGTTCTGAAGCCTGTTGGCTGGTGGGTGGTGACTGGAAGGCCCAGGAAACAGGCCTCCATCTCTGCTTACAAGGTGCCCCTGTGGAACATCCCACTTGGCATGGTCTATTCTCAACCCTTCTACAGAATGAAGGACATCTGAGGATTCCAAAGTGTCCCACAGGGAAATACATTCCACTTCCACCTGTCTGGACCTGCTCTATGAGCAAAGAAGCCCAAGTCATCTCTCAGGGAGGAAGGACTCTCTTGGATGGAAGCAGTGAGAGCAGAAGAAGAGGAAAATAAAGGGTTTGGCTAAGCTACATGCTGGGTATTCTATCTCAAATGATGGATGGGGTTGGCTATAATGCTTGTAATAATTCAGGAGTGATTCTCTCTGAAGACCTAGCTACCTGTGCTAGAGTTGGGATACTGGGCCCCAGCCAAGCAAAGCACACACACAAACACAGTCTGGCCCCAGCCAGATTCTTCTATGGCTGAACGTGGCTGAACCAACAAGCCTGGCTCAGGGAGGTAAATCCTATAAGAGCAGGAGAACTAGATGCTGGGAAGTCTTGCTGAAGCAGGTAGGGCACATTCTCAGGATGCCAGGCCATCAGGTAGACTCAACAAGAGCTTAGTCCCGGCCAGACCCTTCCCTAAAGGCAGAGGATTATTAGCCAGGGTCCCTTGGCACCACACTGAGCCCAATGAACGATTCTGGTGTGTAACCTGATGATAAGAACTCAGAGAGGGGCTTTCTTTTCTACCTCTATGGTTCAATCCTTCATGCCAGGAAGGGAGTAGAATACCAGGGCTCCAGAACTACAGTGCAGAGACACACTAGATTCTCACAGGGCCAGGAAACTTTTGTTTCTCAAATTTGAGGAATCAAACCAAATCATACAGACATTAAGCTATTACCCTGTAACATTCACCCAACCACCAATCTATCAGCTGTAGTTTCTACATGCCCAGCACGCCACTAAATTACAGAAGATAAAGATGACACAGTCCCAACCCTGCCCTTCACAAGGCAGCTGAGGTGGCTAAGACAACATTTGTAGGTGCTTGCCTATCAGTTTACACGGCACGTTCACACCTACTCAACCATTACCATGGCTCTCTTGAGATTAGAATCAGGTAGAAAGAGTCATTGTCATTGATAACTGGGATAAAGAGAGGCCAAGGAGACTAAGTAGATTTCCACAGGCTATACAGTAAACAGAGTCTGGACTAAAATCTAGGTCTTCCAATTCCTAACACACTCACTATCTAGAAAAAGTGGTCCACAGGTCTAGAAAAAGCTTTATTCAAAATCACACAGGGAAACGTGGGAGAGTCCTTACTCCTCAATACCTTAATACAAATACTAGAAAAAATGTTAGCTCTATTTGCGGGGAGGTGATGAGCATCTTCTCTGGGTAAACAAAAGCGCTGATTAAAGAACAAGGCTGCAGGCGAGAACTTTGAAGGGCCCATTAATGTCCAGAAGGACTCACCAAGGGGGGTCTTCAGCGGTTTTATGTGCAGTGCAGGTGAGCCTCATAAGCCTGCCTTTGTTCCCTAACAGCAGTTCTTGTGCAGCGGAGATCACAACTCACCAAGGCAGAAGCCTTGGTGCAACAATGACCATGTGAACATAAAGCACCAGGGGCAGCTTTGGGACACAGGGACACAGGGGATCTCATGGCCTGCAGGCAGAGCTAGGAGGCCAAATGAATTCTAAGTACAGAATTTGGTGCCATCACTTGAGCAACCTATAGAGAAAGCAGAAAGACTCTAAGCTCTAGATAAAAATCCAAGCATACCAGATGCTCCTGTAAAATGGAATCAGACTCTGTAAATCAGAAAGGACTTTATTAGTTTTTCCTCATACTGAACTAAGATAACTCCCACCCACAGGTCTAGGTTCTGCTACCTGGAGCAACAGTCAAACCAACGCTTCATTCCCAAGGCAGCACTTCAATTATTGGAAGACAGCTCTCACGTGTCTTCTCCTAACTTCTCCTCATGCTTAATCTGAGTTTCTTCAACTTTCCTCCAAATGACATGGACCACGCAGTCCTGGTTACCTCCTCCAGGGCACTCCCAGTTTGTTCAGGAATATTTTAGAATGCTACATTTAGAATACAATGCATTACTCATACACAGCTCATGACAGTTGTGGTCTGAACAGCTCTGAGTACAATGGGACCATTACTTCTCTTGATCTGTACACTGTACTTTCATTAACCAACTCTGTTGTAACACTGGCTATTCTGGCAGCCATCACACTGTTGTACTTAGTCGAATAAACACTCTAGAACTTTTCTTCTTCTAAACTAAAGATCTGATGAGGAATAGGAATGAGAGTCTCAGAGGTGAAAATGCAACCTAGTGTTCTCAAACGTGGCTGAGATCCTCAACTTAGCATTGCTCGGTTGCTACCCCACCAAGTGATGGGAAGAAGGAGAAAGTAGAGGAAAGGACAAAGAATCGAATTTTGGTGAAAAGATTCTAAGAAATCAAATCACTGCTCATTCACTCCATTAGGGGCGCAGTTTGTGATATGGGCTTGGTTTTAATGTTAAGACAAAGAAATCTCTATAATTCTGGGCTCACTCTAGGTCCTCAAGAAGTAGTTATTGGTGAAAAAACTTAAAGCCCTTATTATGGTAAACATACCACAGAAAGGACATTTATTCAATAGACATTTATTGAGAGCCTGTTATAGGGCCAATCTACTCCAGTGCCATCCCACATTCCCTCGCCCTCATGGGACTTCTCAATATTGTCATTCACATGTTTAACACCAGACTCACTGATCACACAAACTAGAGGCCTAAAGAGACTCTCAAAAGTGCAAAGTTCAGCAGCAGTAGGAAAAAGGTAATCCAAAATATAAACAAATACAGATTTTTGCAAACCAGTGTTCATGAAGAAAGCATTAAGTGTAAAAAACTCCTACACATTAACGGAGGGAAAAAAGGTCCTAAATGACTCATCATCTAGCTGGGAAGGTAAACTGCAAATGAAAACATTAGATATTTTAGCAAATAATACAACAGGGCCATCTAAGAGCTGTCCCAGGCAGCAAGTGGCTTTCATAATTACTGTGGGATTTCAGAGGAAATTTGCCCTTGGCTGGTCAGGGAAGCCTTTGTGGAGAGATGGGATTTGAGTGTGATCTTGAAGGACCACTATAAG